TCCACAGTTGTTTTAAATTCCCAGCCTGGTAATTCCAGCATCTCTGCCCAACCTGGTAATTCCAGCATCTTTGCCATGTCAGTATTTTGTTCTGATGCTGGCTCTGTCTCTTCACACTGTATTTGCTGCCTTTTAGCTTGCCTTGTAGTTTTTATTTATTTTTTTGCCCTACTGCTTGGCTTGCGGGATCTTAATTCCCTGACCAGGGATCGAACCGGGGTCCTTGGCAGTGAAAACATTGAGTCTTAACTACTGAACCACCCGGGAATTCCCTAGCATGCTTGTACTTTTTTGTTGAGAGCTGGATATGATATCTCAGGTAACAGGAGCTGAGGTAAGCAGGCCTTTGTGTTAGGCTTTGAATGTCGGTGTAGGAATTAGGCTGTTTAATGCTTACAGTACCTGGGGTGTCAGAGGGTGAAACTGCCTATGGTGTAGTTTTTCCCTCCTGGTTTTCCCTGGGTTTTCTCTGGGTCTCCCTTCAGATTTTTTCTTACGTAGGGTCTGAGACATGCTGGTCTTTGGACTGTTTTGATGTTGTTTAGTCAGTCAGTCATGTCTGCGTGCTGTATGTAGCCCACCAGACTCCTCTGTCCATGGAAATTCTCCAGGCAAGAATACTGGAGTGGGTAGCCATTCCCTTCTCCAGGGGAACTTCCCTGCAGTCTCTTATAGTCCTGCATTGGCAGGCGGGTTCTTTACCGCTGCGTCACCTGGGAAGACTTACCACCCCATCCCCGTTAGGTAATCACTCTCGCCAGCCCTGGTAAGCACTAGTTTGCTTCAGTCTCTTTGGACCTGCCTCTTTTGGACATTTGTATAAAAGGAATCATACAGTATGTGACATTTTATGTCTGGCCTCCTTCACTTAGCGTCATGTTCTTTAGGCTCATCTACATGGCAGCCATTTTGAAGACCTCGTTCCTTTCTGTGACTGGGTCGTATTGCAGTGTGTGGAGAGACCACAGCTTGCTTACCCGCTCATCCACTGGTGGGCATTCCAGTTGCTTCCATCTCTTGACTGTTTGGCTGTGACGCTGTTATAAATAGTCGTATACCAGTTTCTGTGTGGACAAGGGTTTTCTTCACCCCTGGGTAATATACCCAGGAGTGGAATTGCTGAGCCATGTGGTCATTCCATGTTTAACTTTTTCAGAAACTACTACCACCGTGGCTGCACCATTTTACATTCGCACCAGCAATGTATGAGGGTTCCTATTTCTCCATATTCTTGTCCACATTTGTTNGTTATAAATAGTTGTATACCAGTTTCTGTGTGGACAAGGGTTTTCTTCACCCCTGGGTAATATACCCAGGAGTGGAATTGCTGAGCCATGTGGTCATTCCATGTTTAACTTTTTCAGAAACTACTACCACCGTGGCTGCACCATTTTACATTCGCACCAGCAATGTATGAGGGTTCCTATTTCTCCATATTCTTGTCCACATTTGTTATTTCTTTTCTTTTCTCCTTAAAGCCGTCTTATTGGGTATAACCATCTCACTGTGGTTTTGATTTGCATTTCTGTTTTAAAAATGTTTATTGAAATATAGTTGATTTACAATGTTCTGTTATTTTCAAGTATATATAAATGTTATTTTTTTACATTCTCTTCCTTTATAGGTTATTATAAGATTTTTGAGTAGAGTTCTCTGAGCCATACAGTAGGTCCTTGTTAATTATCTATTTTTCTATATAGTAGTATTTATATGTTAATCCCAAACTCCTAATTTATCCCTCCCCACTTCCCCTTTGGTAACCATAAGTTTGTTTTCTATGTCTATCATAGAAAACAATATGTCAAAACATATGTTTTGTTAATAAGATCACTTGTATCTTTTTAGACTACATGTATAAGTAATATCGTACAATATTTTTCTCTCTCAGTCTGACTTACTTCACTTAGTATGATCATCTCTAGGTCTACCCATGTTGCTGAAAATGGCATTATTTCATTATTTTTATGGCTGAGAAATAGCCCATTGCACACAGGTGTGTACATGAGCATGTGTGTGTACATATATACACCTGATTTGCCTTGCTGAAATGACCAGTGACAATGTGTTTGTTAACGGTCTGTTAGGACTTCTGTATGTTATTAAAAGTATTGAGGGCTCCCAAAACTTTTTGCTTATACAGTTACATCTAGTGATACTTACCATACTTAGATGCTAAAACCAAGAAATTTTAAAAATATTATTTATTAATTCTTCCATAAACAATAGTAATAAACTCATTATATGTTAACACCAGAGCAATGACATCATCACACATTATGTAGCTTCTGGAAAACTTCACCATGCACTTGTAAGGGAGTGAGAGTGGAAAAGGCAAATCACATCTTACTCATAGTTGACCCTTGAACAACCCAGGAGTTGGGAGCAATGACCCTCTGTGCAGTAAAAAATCCACGTTATAGTTGGTTCCTCATACCCACGGTTTACATATCCCTGGTTCTGCATCTACAGATTCAACCAACCTCGGATTGAATAGCCCTGCAGGATTTACTATTGATGAAAATCCACATGTAAGCAGACCTGCCTGGTTCAAACCCAAGCTCTTCAAGGGTCACCTGTATTATGAAAAATTTTGATCTCACAGACTTCTCTCCCCAAAAATGAATAATGATAATCCAGTTTTACTCAAGTCAGATAAATAAAGTTAAAAACATATATATTTTTTCTGGTCTGAAATTCCAGGTCTTAACCTTACTTTCCCAGAAAACATACATGTTGGGGAATGCTGACGATGGAATCTGATTGTACTTGGTTGGTCACAGAAAGGACAAAAAACCACTTTTTAACCTAGATATAGACCTGCTGACACCTGCACATTTTTTGGTAATACTTCCCTGCCCTTTCAGAAATGACAACTGGCTGCTGATTTAAATTTTTCATCGATCTCCTTCATCATGTGATTTTGTTCAGCCAAGACATCTGTCAACTGGTTGAGAATTGATATCTTGGGCAAGAGTCTGAACTTGCACTGAAATCTCAGCCCCCAAGTTTGGCTTTTCCATTGGGGGTTGAGGGTTGGCTGGTGTGGAGAGGTATAAACTCTGTGGTTCTCCAAGTGTGGTCCCCGCACCAGCATCGTCAGCATCACCTGTAACCTGTTAGACATGTGGGTTCTCGGGCCCCACCCCAGACCTGCTGACTCAGAAACTTTGGAGACCGGCCCAGGCTTCCAGGTCTCACCAAGGTCTCCAGGCAATTTTAATTTGCTCACAGTGTGAGGGTCACTGATGTGACCTCGTCCGTAATGACATGCGCTCCCCTGCCCCCATGCTTCTTTCTTTCTTCCTCCCATAAACATTGAATGTACTGCTCCCTTATCAGTGTTTTTATGACAGCTCTTTGCAACTGTACACGTTTGCACACTGTGTGTCTGTCTGTAAACATCAAATCTGTGGCAGCCGAGAGCATCATTTATAGCAATCCCAGAGAAAACGCTCTTAGAACAGCCAGTCACAAACAGCTGAAGCTACATGTCAAGGATAACCCACTACTTGGGACCCAGCTTCTCCCTCTTCTCCTGGCATTAACTCCAGTGAAATCCCTTCAAACTCTGAAGCTTGACAGTTCCATGGGTTTGCTTGCTGTCTTCTGCGGTCACCTAAAGACTGCTCCCCTAGGGAATCTGTTCTTTAGAAACTTGAACTGGAAGATTCAGTAGAGGGGGCTAGCTTGGAGGACTGGGCTAAAGTCAAAAGTCTTCATTTGAGGGGCATATGAGCAGGAGAGTGGGCTGGTCAACCAGAGGCTGGGAAAGGACTTATGTGGATCCAGAGAGCATGTGTGTCTATTTACATCAGTGCTAGGGCTTCCCTTGGGATTTCTAACCGGATTAAGCTACTCTTCTTTATACTCTACATGGTGTGGAGAAAGCTCCATGCTACTTGTGGTCTGGTGAACACATATACATGAAAACAGGACCAAGAGTTCTGGTTGTTCCTCTCCATTCCTCCAGCAACCTTGGACTTGCTGCCTAGACACAGGTCAACCTCAAGGGTTGATACTACAGAACTGGCTTCACGATGGGGTTGCAGTGGCCTGGGGTTCTGCTATGTGACTTCAGAGCTTTCCAGAGCCCACCAGATCAGGAGATGCCTCTTGGATGAGTGTTTAGCTTCTTTGATTTCGATTGTGATCCATGACATCTGTGGGCTGTTCTTGACTTCTTCCGGCCCTTGGTTTTCTAGATTGTCCTTCTGTTCTTCTTCCTGTGGTGATACAAGTCATAGTCATGGGTGGAATGCTGCACCAAAATCAATATGGTCTCAATAAACTTATGTGCATTGAGCATCCCACTTTCGTGGGTCAGCCCCACTGATCTGCTAACTTTAAGTCCCACCTCAGGATACCCTGACCATCCCACTTGCTGATCATCCCTCTAGAGGTCAAGACTGGCAGCCTCGTGGTCCTCATGGTGACGTGATCCAGTCATTGTGCAGCCTGTGGGGCTGAAAGTGAGCCCGAGGCCTGGCCAGTTACAGGTGGGGGAGCTGGTGGGTCTTGGGGAGGGGCTGAAAGATAGGCTGTGCTCACTGGGTGCACATCCTCACTTTGCATTTTGTCCTAGTGGGTGGTGATGACAGTCCCCAGGGAAGGGGTACCTGCATCATCTAGAGTCAACCCTCCTCCTTCACACTCATTTCCAATCAGCCACCAGACTCTGCTAACCTGACTCCTTTATGTATCTCTCCATTCTTTTCCTCTGCTTTAGCGGATGCCCCTGACCTGGTCCATGCTCTCCTTGTCCCCTGGGTGGATTTATTCTAGCACAACATATCAAACTGCCACCACTATTACCACCCTAAATCCAGCCTTTCTGGTGGCCGGACCATTCAAATGCCGATGCTACCATTTATTGCATAAGCCCATTTCTGTGGCTGCTGTTGCCCTCAGGAAGGGACTGGGTTCCCCGTCTGGCCTGATCTTCCAGGACGTGGTCTCTGGCCATCACACACTGGGGCACTGCGACCACCGCCCTGTGTGCTTTACCCCTCAGTGCTGAGAACTGCCAGACCCTCGCAGACAGCCTCCTGCCCTTCAGGATGCTTCCTTTCTCCTCCTGTCCCTCTGCCTTGCAGCTGCTCCTGCTGTTCTTCACCAGTCTGCCGGCATCGGCTCTGAAAGCCTGTTGGGCACCCCCATGTAGGATGACATGGGTCATTTCTCTCCTCATTCTCTGCAGCACCTCAATCTTAGGCTTTCACAAATTGCATTTCAAGTCTCTCTCTTTTTTATTTTCTTTTCTCCTTGACTGGTCTTTAAGCTCCTGAGAGCAGGGGCCCTTCTTAATCATCCTGAGGCCCCTACCAAATGCCTGGTACAGAGGAGTTTGTCTCTGTATCTTTTTAAACTTGATAATTGGCAATGAACACTGTGCAAGTTTAAGGTGTAGCATGTTGACTTGATACATTTATGTGTTGTGATGTAATGACCACCTTGCCGTTAAGCTAACACTTCCATCACATTGCGTGGTTGTCATATCTTTTTTGGTGGTGAGAATGTTCAAGAGCTAGTCTCTTAGTGACTCTAAAGTGTATGGATGCACTGCTGTTGACTGTAGTCACCTAAGCTGCTGCATCAGATTCCCCAGAACTTGGCCATCTTTTAACTGCAAGTGTGTGCCTTTTGACCCACATCTACACAGGAGCTGTTCTATAAAACTTTTTGGAAGTGAAAGACAATAGCTGCAGAAAAGGAAAAATAATAGCTCAGCTAGCTGTGCTAAGGGGATTTCCTGAATTGAAAACTGCTAGCTTCTAGCCAGCACTGTGCTGTAAGAACTTTCTGTGAAGACAGAAGTGTCTCGTATCTGTGTTGTCCAACAAGGTGGCCACGTGTGGCTATCAAACACCTGAAATGTGGCTACTGCCATGTGTAGACTGAACTTTTAATCATATTTAATTTATTTAAGTTTAAGCGGAAGTATCCGCACGTGGCTAGTGGCAACCCTGTCAAACAGCTGTCAGCAGCATCTGGTTACCTCCTACCTGGCTAAGAGCTCCCATGGGGTGAGGCTGCAGGAACTGGCGTGCAGGCAAATGCTTAACAACCAGCTCTTGGAAACAGTCTGCTCACATCCATGGTGTAAAAATCCCCACCAAACCCAGTGTCAATACATCCTGGATACAGAGCTGGGGAGAGAGTACAATGTAAAATCATCATCTAGGCAGTATTTCCTCAACACAGGTACACAGATACAAACAACCCTGAGAATAGGGTTGTTTAGTCCACTGCACTAAAATAATTAGAAAGTGATTAATTTTAAATATTTATTGACTTTGTACTATTTAACTTATTTAATTGTAAGCTTATATACTTTAGTTTTTAATAATGTCTAAACTTAAAAGCAGGTCGCAAAACTCCAGAGCACCTAATTTTTGGCTTTCAGGAGGCTTTGTAAGCCAGCTCCCTCTCATCACCAGCTCTTAGCTCAGTTCAGTTGCTCAGTCATGTCTGACTCTTTGTGACTCCATGGACTGCAGCACACCAGCCTTCCCTGTCTATCACCAACTCCCAGAGCCTACTCAAACTCATGTCTATTGCCTTGGTGATGCCATCCAACCATCTCATCCTCTGTCGTCCCCTTTTCCTCCCACCTTCAATCTTTCCCAGCATCAGAGTCAGTTCTTTGCATCAGGTGGTCAAGGTAGTTGAGTTTCAGCTTCAGCATCAGTCCTTTCAATGAATATTCAGGACTGATCTCCTTTAGGATGGACTGGTTGGATCTCCTTGCAGTCCAAGGACTCTCAAGAGTCTCCAACACCACAGTTCAAAAGCATCAATTCTTCGGCGCTCAGTTTTCTTTCTAGTCCAACTCTCACATCCATACATGACCACTGTAAAAACCATGGTGAGAATTAAAAAACAGAACAGGCATGAAAGCTGCCAGCACGGCCCTTGGCATATGACGGTGTTCAGTGTATTGTAGGAGAATCTCAATTCTCAAGAATCATAAAATCCTAATTTTTTTGCCATCAGAGTTCTCCTGTATCTTTTTTTTTTATTCATAGATGCCATGTTTTGAGAGATTTTTCTCTTCCAAACTGTAATTATTATATGAATTACCTTTCACAATTTTTATTTAATAAAGTTTCTTTTAACTGCCAATCAGATTCTGATTAGGATGATATAACTAGTGTTACTGTACTGATTTGATTTAATTTTAGCAGAAATAAAGGATAACATTCTACTTGGCCTGTATAACCCCGTTGCAGCTAAATAAATTATTTCTGTTCAATTTTAAAAAATTAAAAATAGCTCACAAGATTCAGNCCCCGGGGCTGAGAGAGCCCCCTCCCGAGTGTCTGTCAGGGAGGCGTCCCCGGGGCTGAGAGAGCCCCCTCCCGAGTGTCTGTCAGGGAGGCGTCCCCGGGGCTGAGAGAGCCCCCTCCCGAGTGTCTGTCAGGGAGGCGACCCCGGGGCTGAGAGAGCCCCCTCCCGAGTGTCTGTCAGGGAGGTGGTCCCTGGGGCTGAGAGAGCCCCTTCCTGAGTATCGGTCCCTCCAGCCCTCCACACCCAGCTCAGTGCTTCCGGGGAGGTGAGCCGGGCAGTCTCTGCCACCCCTTTTCAGAATGCAGCCCCCTCCCGGCCAAGCTTCCCTGGAGGCTCCAAGACCTGGGCCTGGGGGTATGGTCGGGAAGGGCCCCAGCCTTTCCCAGGGGGCTCCCCTCCTTCTCGGGGAGCAGCTGACAGGCACCCTCTTCAGAGAGGGTCAGAGGCCCAGCCTCAGTTAAACAGATCTTGAGTGAGGCCCACAAGGGGTAAATGAAATGTTGAAATATCAAGATGAGTATAAAGGTAAATGATAAACAGCTAGCATCTCCTGAAAGTGTCCCTGTTTCCCATATATTCTTTCCCTGGAGCTGGCGGTTATCCATCCAGCCGTCCATCTGTCTGTCTTAGACGTGCCTCAAAGCCTGTTTTTCTCCCTCCATCCGCCCCGTAAGATATAATTGACCTGTAACCTTGTGTAATTTTAAGGTGTACACTTACTTATTGCAAAATATTTTGTAATTACTATTTCTTTTTTGTGCCAAGAACATTGAAGAGTTACTCTTAGCAACTTTCAAGTCCACAACACAGCATCCGTTGGCTGTAATCCCCACACCCTGACCATCCCCAGACCGACTTCTCTGCTGACGAAGTCCGTGCCCTTTGACACTCGTCTTCTCTTTGCCTCACCCCCAGGCCCTGGTCACCAGCAGCCTACTCTACGAGCTCCATTTTGGTGTTTTGGGTTTTCTTTTTCCCCCTCAGAGCCTGTTTTTGCCTCCCTCCAGAAGGCACCTGGAGTGGTCTTGGCATGTTTTTTTCTCTCCCCCACTGGGCACGCCACCTCCCCCCCCACACATCCAGGTGCTGGGTGTTTGTCCTCTGGGAGCTGGCCGGGAGGCCCTGGTTGAGGCTGGTTGGAGACCTCACTGCTAACTCACCACAGCCGTGCCTGTGACTTTGAGTCGTGTTATGCTCTGGATTCGTCTTTGAGTTTTATGCACATCGTAGAGTGTAAAGAGTTAATTTAGACTAACTCACTGTGCAGCTCACCACCCACCAAGCAAATGTGTCGGTATGGTTGGGTCACTACCCACCTGCGATCTGATACTCGGTGGTAAATATGAACGTATCCAACGTTGCACCCTCTTCTGTGGGCTTCTGCAAATCTGTGCAAAAGAGAGGGGGAGGTGCTTGTGGATGCTGGCTGTGGGACTGCCTGGGGCTGCGAGAGTCCAGGCGGCTGGAGACCTATGAGAGGCCAGGGGAGCCCTGGCTCAACTTCTGAACGTTTTATTCTTCTGCCTTGAGCTGGCGCCCCCTAACTTGCTTCTCCTCTGACACTGGTGACGCTGGTTGTGTTTGAGGCCTGGGAGGTCATGTGCGGATGTGTGCTCATCTCTAGCACCAAGGGGCAGCTCCCAGGCCAGCTCTTCCCTCTCATGCCTCACAGTTTAATAGCCAAGCTTTTATCTTCCAAGAAATGCCAGCCATACCTGTGGTCCCTGCCGTCCTGGTTGTTAAGAAAGTTCCACTCCCAGGGGGAGCTTCCGTGCTCTCCCAAGGCTCTATGTCATCTGGAGGAGAGAAGAAGGATGCTTTTGGGGCAGAAGGTGGGGAGTGGGGGTATGGGGTCTCCCTCCCACCCCCTCCACCTCCTCAGCTGACCCTAGACATGGTAGCTAAGGTGTGTCTCGGCTCTGTGGTCCCCATCAGGGTCAAGTGAAGTGGCTCGGTGTGACCCCAGCAGAGCAGGAGGAGGGAACTGTGACCCTGACTCTGGCTCTCTTTGGAGCTCTGAGCAGCTTTCTCCCCAAGCTTCCTACTCAGCTCTGGTTTCCATTTGCAGATTGGAATTGGGTCATCATAATACAAATTCCATCAAAACATTAAGCAAAGTGTGTGCGTGCTAAGTCGCTTCAGTCGTTTCCGACTCTTTGCGACCTTATGGACTGCAGCCCATCAGGCTCCTCTGTCCATGGGATTCTCCAGACAAGAATCCTGGAGCGGGTTGCCATTTCCTTCTCCAGGGGATCTTCCCAATGCAGGGATCAAACCTCTTAAGTCTCCTGCATTGGCAGGTGAGTTCTTTACCACTAGCATCACCTGGGAAGCCTATTAAAGTAGATATGCACAAAAGAAGAGCTTTTCTCTGTGACAGGTTCACCATTGCTCGGACACGCCCAGTGGGCAGCGTGACTCTCAGGGTGCAGGCTATGGGAAAGAAACTCAGAACTCCCCCCCCACAAAAGATCCAAGAGGGGGGTGGGGGGCCTGGGCAATGGGGGCAAGCAAAGAAACCACTGGAAGTTAGGGCCCAATGAGGGGACTTTTGATTGTAGATATGGTAATATGATTTCAGGACGAAAATAGCAGAAGACCTCAACGTAGGTGGGTTGTCCATGAATGTGAATGAGCATACGTGTGTGTGCATGTGTGCCTGTACTTGAAAAGTCCCTGCCCTGCATGTCTGCACTTTGGCAAAGCTCAAGTGGAACTCACACAAGAGGGGAGGGTGGCTTTCTCCTGGTATAGCAGGAGAACGGATTTACATTATGTAACAGCAAGTTGGAAATGTATGCAGGGCAGGTGGACTTTCCCTTTTGAATGAGGAAGTCTTGGTAGCTTAGAGGCAGAGGGGGAATTTCAGGATCAGCTAGAAACGGGAGCAGCACCATGTGGGGGTGGGGGGCCCCCTCCGGAAGACGCCTGTCTTCCTCTTTCAGATCCTGCTCTTTATCCCCATCAGGAAATGGGGGACCCCAGGGCGTGGAGACCTTACAGTTTATCTCATCTGTTTTCTAGAGAGAGAACAACCTGAGGCCCCAGGAAAGGAAGTTGTTCACTCTAGACCACTTAGCGGGTGGATCAGGGATTCCAGCCTGGTCCACCTCAGGGAAGCCACGAGGCGGTGGACCCTGGGGTGGGGGGCACCTCTGTACCTGGAACCTGACCGTTCGCCCCTTCACTTATGCACTTGAGCCTGGGCCTGGTCCACTTTATCTCCCCGTTGATCAACGTGCAGGTGCTTTCAGCATGACCAGTCTGTAGGGCCCTGAATCCCTGGGCGCACTGGTAATGAACTGTCTGCCCCAGGATGAAATGATAGACTCTCTTTAAAGGTTCACGTTCATGTTCCCATGGTGGCGGCTCCTTGCAGTGACCTGGACGAGGGAAGGGAATTCCAGAGGCAAGTAGAGGAGATGCTGTGAGTCCAGGCTGCCTCTTTCTAGAGATCAGACCACAGTCCTGTTTCTTTTCTTTGGCCCCCTCCACCTTCCCCCCCGCCCCCGCCGCCCCGCTTTCTTCCAGTAAGTATTGGTAACATCTATTTGTCAGGGCCTTTGCTAGGCACTTTGTGAAAGGAACGGAGACCCAGCCCCCCTCCCCTGCAGTGAGCAGACAGTGGATCAGGGAGGGGAGCCTCTGCAGGGAGAACGTGGGGAGCATGACCCTTGAGACACAGGTGCTCGCTCTGGGAACGCAGAGAAATGAGCTTCTGCTGACAGGGAAAGATTTGCTAAGTGGACAGGTGTTCGAACAGTGGTCTCAGCTTAGGGTTAAGGGCAGGTTCCAGCTTGTCTGGGCTGAGGAGATGTGGAGGCCACCTAGATCTCGACTGCTAAGTGAGGAAGCACATCTAAAGTGGTTATCTTGGGGCCACGTAGAAGCACTCGGGACAAATCCCAAGCTGGGAGGAGGGAAGCACCAAGACGATCTTAGAGGAATGGAGCCCGGTCCCTGATCAAGCCATGCCTGAAGCCGGCCCTTTTAAGGCCTCTGAAAATTCCCGTGTCCAGTAACTTTCCCCTCACCCAACTAAAACCCAAGTCTGGCTGACCTTTAACCCCACAGATTATGTTCTGTTCTGATGTAACCCCCTGCCCCACAAATCTGGACACACGGAACCACAGATCCTTCTAAGCCCAGCACTGTGAAGCTGTGTTTATGCTCTGACCTTCCACAACCCCAAAGATCCAACATAACCTCTCACACTGCCCTCCATGACCCTCTGCGGCAGGAGGCCCAGTGGTCCCATCCCAAGGGGTCTGCTCAGGACAGTGTCTTGCAGTTCATGCTTGAATATGTGTTTACGTCTCAGAATCAAATTGCCTTTCCAGTCAGTAAAATTCATAACTGTCCAGACTCGTTGGAATTTGCTTCTTTCAAAACCTCCAAATTAAGACAGTCTGCGCAGCATCCCTTAGCCAGAGGCAGCTGGTTATCTCTTGAGTAAGGAGAGTAAACACTGACTTCTTGAGAAAACTTTCAGTAATTGTGGAATATGGGAGGGGAGAAGCAGAGGAAAACAACGAACATGTTCTGAAACCTCACTTCAGAACAAAGTCACAGTGACAAGGACAGGAAACAGCATATTGCAGCAGGTTCCCCAGATTAGTCATTGTCTTTTTATTTTAATTAATAAAAGCTGATAATAAATTCAAAATAGCTTGAATAATCATACCAAGACCCCTGGTCTAATTCAGGAAACCCTTATTCCAGTCCCATTTTGTGAGTTGTGCCATGTCTTTAATAGTCTCCGCATCTCAATTCCATCAGTAAATTGAAGGAATATTTCCTGGTCCTTGACTCACTGGGTTCTGACGTTGGAATGAGATTATATACAAAGTTGTAAAGTTCTTTGTAAAGTTGTACAATTAGCTTTGGGGCACAGGGTATTGTAATGTCAGCTGGGCCCCCTAAAGCTCAGGTTTCCCTGACGGGCTCCTTTCTTCCTGATATCAAGGCTGACTTTCTCCTTATTAATTTTGGAAAGTTGGGGCAGCAGCTGGGTGACACGGCACAGGCCTGTCCACAGGCCTGCAGCTTCCAGAAGCCAGTGTGGCCCCACCCACCTCAGAACCCTGTCCTGTTAGAAATAAACGTCTGGAAGTAGATTACTTGGCTCACAGTTCAGTGTTTCTTCCTTAAGGGAAGCATAGAGCATCTTTTGAGGCCAAGGAGCACTGCCGACTCAGATTGGTATTGTCTGGCCACTGTGCTTGGAGCAGTTAGCCCCCAAAATGCTGTTTGAAAGAAAGTGAGTTGAGTGGAGTTGAATTGAGCTCGCCGGGGCCAGTTCCCAAGCCTGGAGGAAGCCCAGAGCCCAGGCCAGCTGCTGTAAGAGAGGCTCGAGATGCTGAGCAGACAGCCTGCCACCACCGCGCCGCAGCGCCGGTCCCCAGGACGTCCTCGGGAGAGAGGACCACAGGCCGGACTCTCCTCCTTGGGGGCGCGCTGCATGTGTCTGTGAGAGAGCAGGTCCACTCCTACCTGGAAGGTCAGCTTGCTCCGGGGGCTGCGTTTGGCTCTGCACGTCTGTGGGTTTTCTTTCATTCTGTTCTTTGGGTCCAGGAGTGACTTGTTTTACTGGGTTCTTAGCAGGGGCTAGAGAATATGGAGGGAATGAAGATAATAACTTCACAGGTGTTTAAAAGAGAAAATTCTCAAAAAGAACATCTTTCTAGGGCCTGTAACGTGCCAGGCAATATCGGGGGATGCAGAGGTTATAAGAATGAGCCCCACATACCCTGTCCTCGGGGGGCTGTCAGAGGGCCTGTTCACCGGTAGCAGAGCACCAGCCCACCAGACGTTCTTCCTGTATGTGATGGTAGTAGCCTACAGTGTGTTTCTGCAGGCCCCCAGCTCTTCTGGTGGAATGGTTTGTGCCTGTGTGTCTCCCCAAAAGGGGCCCTGCGCTGGCCATCAGCCTGTCAACACTGTGCATGGAGGTGAGTGTGGTGGCCAGAGGAGCAATCTCAGTCACTCCTGTTTCCCAAAGGCAGGTCATTTAAGAGTCAGTTCAGTTCAGTCGCTCAGTCGTGTCCGACTCTTTGCAACCCCATGAATCGCAGCACGCCAGGTCTCCCTGTCCATCACCAACTCCCGGAGTTCACCCAAACTCATGTCCATCGAGTCAGTGATGCCATCCAGCCATCTCATCCTCTGTCGTCCCCTTCTCCTCCTGCCCCCAATCCCTCCCTGCATCAGNGAAATATGTTGCATCTCTATATGCTAACAATGAGCTATCAGAAGGAGCAAAGAATCCCATTTACAATTTCATCAAAAAGAATAAAATACCTAGGAACAGATCTAACCAAAGAGGTAAAAGAAAGACCTGTACTCAGAAAACTATAAGACATTGATAAAAAGAAACTGAAAACAACAGAAACAAATGGAGAGATAAACTGTATTCATGAACTGGAAGAATTAAAACTGTTAAAATGACCATATTACCCAAGACAACCTACAGATTCAATGTAATCTCTATTGAAATACAAATGGAATTTTTCACAGAACTAGGACAAATGGGGAAACAATGGAAACAGTGAAAGATTTTATTCTTCGGGGGCTCCAAAATCACTGCAGATGGTGACTACAGCCATGAAATTAAAAGACACTTGCTCCTTGGAAGAAAAGCTATGACCAACCTAGACAGCATATTAAAAAGCAGAGACATAACTTTACCAACAAAGGTCCATCTAGTCAAAGCTATGGTTTTTCCAGTGGCCATGTATGGGTGTGAGAGTTGGACCATAAAGAAAACTGAGCGCCAAAGAACTAATGCTTTTGAACTGTGGTGTTGGAGAAGACTCTTGAGAGTCCCTTGGACTGCAAGGCGATCAAACCAGTCAATCTTCAAGGAAATCAGTCCTGAATATTCATTGGAAAGATTGCTGCTAAAGTTGAAACTCCAATACTTTGGCTACCTGATGTAAAGAGCTGACTCATTTGAAGAGACCCTGATGCTGGGAGAGATTGAGGGCAGGAAGAGAAGGGGACAACAGAGGATGAAGTGGTTAGCTGGCATCACTAGCTTGATGGATGTGAATTTGAGTAGGCTCTGGGAGTTGGGAAAGGACAGGGAAGCCTGGCGTGCTGCAAACCATGGGGTTGCAAAGAGTTGGACATGACTGAGCGACTAGACTGAACTGAAGAATGGCAGTGGTGCAGCTGCTGTGGAGAACAGCTCCATTGCCCAGTCTATGTTCACATCATTATGAACTACGATTATTTTCAGTTGTTTAGTAATTATTAGTGTAATGTCTGCCCCCCCCCACCCTCTTAAAGTGTGGTTTCCTTGAAGGCTTGGTGTGGCAGACTCGTCCACCCAAATCTCTACAAATGACCCAATTTCATCCCTTTTTATGGCCGAGTAATATTCCATTGTATATATGTAGCACATCTTCTTTATTCATTCCTCTCTCTATGGACATTTAGGTTGCTTCCATGTCCTGGCTATTGTAAATAGTGCTGCAATGAACACTGAGGTGCATGTGTCTTTCTGAATCGTGGAAAAGCAGTACAGATGAACCTAGGTGCAGGGCAGGAATAGAGATGCAGATGCAGAGAATGGACATGTGGACCAGCAGGGGAAGGGGAGGATGGGACGAACTGAGAGAGCAACATTGACACATAGACACTACTGTGTGTGAAACAGCTCGCAGGGAGCTGCTGTACCACAGAGGGAGCTCGCCTTGGTGCTGTGTGGTGACCTAGAGGGGTGGGAGGGGGGCTCAGGAGGGAGGGGAAACATGTACACTTGTAGCCGATTCACTTCCTTATCCAGCAGAAACTAACAACATTGTAAAGGAATTCTACCCCGGCCCCCAGCCCCCAGGGAAAGTTGGGGGGAGCCCTGCCTCCCTCTTTGCTATAGTTTTCTCCTTCCCTCAGGGTTACCAGTGGAAACTCTTACAGATGCTGTTGCAGAGGCATCTGTTTTCCCAGGCAGAGTGGCTGGAGTTCCCCGCGCAGCGCATGACGACCGACACTCTGCGGAAGCCTGTCTTGCAGTCGCAGTTTATCATGGTGCCCACCTTGTACCTGAGGACCTTGAACATGGCGTTTCTGAGACTCGGAGGGTCATCCTGACAAACCTCTGCCAAGACAAAAAGGCATCTTAGTCATCCAGGAGCTTCCAAACACAGGCACAGACAACCATCAAAATGATCTAATCCCACATTTCTTCCCTTGATTTAAGGGATTGGCATGTACCCCACTTTTTCATGGAAAGACACTCAGGCTGTTGAAGGTTCTTCAGCAACCTTCAGATCAGAGATGGTTCAAAATTTAACTTCAGCCAAATTATTCTCCAAGCTACAGTGTCTTTCAAACTAAATGAGTAGAAACAACGGGGGTTTTATTCTGATGACTCCCACCGAGCAAGCATAGTTTCTTCACAAGGAACATGAGGAAAGGCTTCCCTGGTGGCTCAGCTGGTAAAGAATCCTCCTGTAATGCGGGAAACCTGGGTTCGATCCTGGGGTTGGGAAGATCCCCTGGAGAAGGGAAAGGCTACCCACTCCAGTATTCTGGCCTGGAGAATTCCATGACCTGGAGAATTCCATGTGCATGGGGTCACAAAGAGTCGGATACAACTGAGCAAATTTCACTTCACTAACATGAGGAAAGGCGGGGAGTGGGGGAAGCCACACAGATTTAACTGAGGGATGAAATGTGTCTGTTGAGAAATCCTTTCTTGGGGGAGAAATATTTGTAAAGTGTTTACTCAGTGTGTGATGAGTAGGAAATGTGTTTCTCACCCATCTACCCACCTCTGAGTTTTCCAAATTTCTTCTCACACCACAAAACCTGACCCTCCCGTGGCCCAAAAAAGCATCACTGGTTCCCCACTAAAGACACTTGAAGAAGTGGCCGAACACCCAACTACTACGGGGAGGGAAATGTGCTGGTCTCATCAGAACAGGGATTCGACTGTGTGTCTCTAGACACGTTGCCCTGCTTCAAGAGATGAGATTTTTCAGGAAAAAGTCATAGGCCATGTGGAGGAAGTGAACAGGATGGCACCGGAAGTGGGAGAGAGTGAGGCGGCCAGGCTGCCTGCAGCTGGCCTCACCACCCAGCAGAGGGGCATCAGTTCTGGGCAGGTGGCCATACCCGCGGCCGGCAGAGGACCAGCTGCCAGTTGTGTGTCAATCACTCAGCATGGAGTGGAGCTTCTCTGAGCCCTCACGCTCTGCCCAGCCACTTGTTGTCCTGGAGACCACCCCATCCCCATCCAGGATTCAGGACCCTCCCGACACCCCCAAGAGGATGAGGAGAATGTCAGCTTGCCCCACCTCTAACCCAGAAGGGACTAAACAACAGCAATTTGAATGGCCGAGTGGGCCAGCAGTTGCTGAGGAACCTGTGACATAACATGCATGCGCACATGCTGAGTCACTTCGGTCATCTCTGACTCTTTGCGAGCCTATGGACCGTAGCCCGCCAGGTTCCTCTGTCCATGGAATTCCCCAGGCAAGAATACTGGAGTGGGTTGCCATGCCCTCCTCCAGGGAATTTTCCTGACCCAGGGATCACACCCAAGTCTCTTAATGCCTCCTGCTTTGGCAGGTGGGTTCTTTACCATTAGCGCCACCTGGGAACCCTGTCACTTAATTAAATTCTGGTCACTGTAATAATCATAATAATCCCTTTCCACCACACTGCATTTCTTGCCTTATTAAGAGACTCGGGTGTTGAACAAAGAAGATAAAACAACACACACGCATATTGATTCCACTTTTATAAAGTTCAAGAAAAGACAAAACTAGTATACAGAAAGAAATTAAGCCAGGGTTTGTGTGTGGTGGGCAGGGCTGGCTGCAGGGAATCAGTGAGTAATGAAAATGATGGGTCCTTGGGTGTACACCTTCGTCCTGATGACAAATTGAAATGATAATGGACTCATCACAGTTCAGGCACACAAAAGTGGAGTCAGGGGCCATGGAAGACCTGCTCTCAGACACTTCCCTGCACCACCAAGAACTTGAATTTTCTCTGAATTGCACCAAACTTAAGGACACCACCAACCGTTTTCAGAATACATGTAAATCCATGGCTAATTCATGTCAATGTATGACAAAAACCACTACAATATTGTAAAGTAATTCGCCTCCAATTAATAAAAATAAATGAAAAAAAAACAACAATACCTGCCAGCAGCTGCAAACTGAGGGTCTCAAGGTCCCCCCTTGAAACTGTGCAGCCTTTTCAGATGTCAACAAATTGGTATTCAGCAAGCACCCTTAGGCTTGCCAGCTCCAACTATAATTCTTGGTAAACAAGTCCTGCTGTCACTAACTGTAACCTTGGTTTTCCCTTTATAACCTCCCTTATTTCATTGTTGAGGGTGGAGTGGGGAGACAATTCAAGGGCTTCTTTGCATAGTTTTATTGGAGTCTAGTTGCACTACAATATTGTGTTAGTTTCTATTGTACAGCACGATGAATCAGGCAGAGATGTACATAGATGCCCTCTTTTTTGGACTTCCTTCCCAGTTAGGTCACCACAGAGCATACAGTAGAGCTCCCTGTTATACAGTAGGTTCTCATTAGTTATCTATTTCATACAGAGTATAAATAGTGTCAGTCCCAATCTCCCAATTGTCACCACCCTTGCCCTGTCCTCCTTGGTCAAGGGCTTCTCTGGGGTATCCCTAACAAACCCCAAATAAACACCTTTTTATTTCAATCAGATCTCCATCTCTGAAATTTTTGGTTAATGGCCAAAATTCATCAGAATTGTACACTTCAGATTTGTGCATTTCACTGCAAGTAATTTTACTTCCAAAAAATCAGTAAGAAGTATACAGAGCAACTCTCACGATTATTCACTAACACAAAGAATCAAGGATTGACCTCAGATGCATTCAGAATCTGACAACTCAATCACAAACCAAAAAAGTTTCCAAACACAGAAATTGGCAAAGAACAAGGCAAATTGCCCTTGGGACAACTTGGTGTCCTTAAAAACTATTTATGTGGTGATATGCTTTTTTTAATTAGGCCATGGAAATTTCCGGGATCATCATAAATTAGCCTGAGCATCGAGGAGGTCATGTGGGACAAGGGAAAGTTCCAGAAGTTCTTACTCCCACGGACTTGCTTTTTTATCAAAGCAATTTTCCTGGAATCTAGAAGCAACGGAACTTCCCTGATCTATAACTAAGAACTAGTAAAGAACTTGTAAAGTTCTAGTAAAGAATAGTAAAGAACTTGACTATAACCCTTTGCCCTGGAACCATCCAAAGACTGATCCAGATGTCATCTGAAGAAGGTGGGGTGGGAGGGTGTTCAGCAAAGGCAGACAGAGGGTGGGGTGTTCTTTTTAATAGGATTAAATCTGGGATTTTTTTAAAGTCCTTCTCAGAGAGGTCATAAAAGAAATAGCAGTACAACATCTTAAAAGGAAAAAAAAAGAATGGAAAATGCCTCTTCTCTCCTGAAATCTTGCAGAGGAGTGAGTGAGTTAAAGTTGCTCAGTCATGTCCGACTCTTTGCAAACCTACGGACTGTAACCCGCCAGGCTCCTCTGTCCGTGGACTTCTCCAGGCAAGAACACTGGAGTGGGTAGCCATTTCCTTCTCCAGGGGATCTTTCTGACCCAGGGGTCAAACCCAGGCCTCCTGCATTGCAGGCAGATTCTTTATCATCTGAGCCACCAGGGAAGCAGAGGCGTGTTGAAGGACAATTCTGTTTATGTGACTCAGCAAAATGTCTTTACATCCCCTTTCCTCGTATTATCCTTATGAATTTTCTTCCCACATAGCATGGCAACTGCTCTCATTCCCTAGTTTTACTCTAAAATTCTCAGAGTTCAGCAAAGGGGCTTTTTCCGCCTTTACTCTTGCACCCACATTTCCAAATCTATTTCCTGTTTCCACCAGAGGCTCTGCCTTTCTAACAGAAATCTTTCTCTGTCTCCACTCTGCCCATTTCCCCAACTCAGGAGGCAAACACAGAAAAAGTTTTTGCAAGTGGGAAGGGAACTGTTTTTCTCTCTGTCTTTTTAAAGCATCGATACATTTCTAAATTGGATGCTATTTTCTCTTCGGAGAGGATTGAAAGTGCTGCTTCTGGAGTGGAGAAGAACTGTGTACATTCCTAGTCTGGTGCTGGGACTTGGGGTGAATACTCAGAGCTCGGACTGGGGGCCCAGGCGGGGTCCTCCCAGGGGCTCAGAGGAACACTGATGTGGTCTTGCCACCTCCGACCTTTTGTGTGGGCAGAGGCAGAAAGAGAGCCAGTGATTATCATTAATCCTGCAAACCCCAAGAGCTTCCACTGTCAGAGAGTTAAAATTGAGCTCTTCTGATGTCGAAAGTGTTTCCTGTCTCATTTCAGATTTTAGCTGGGACAGGTAATTGGAAAGACCCCACGCACGTGTCCCTCCTCCCTGCATCCACCCCATCTCCATCCACACTGGCCCGGGTGCACCTCCCCTTGGGATATCTGTAGGTGTGTGGCCTCCACGAATTCCCTGTTCAACTGAAGTGCAGGAATCCGTGCACTTTCAGCGTCTCCAGCTGACAATGGCGACAGTCACTGAGGGCTACCTTGCTCTGGGCTGTGTCACCACGCAGGTCTGGGAGGAAGGTGGCCGAGGGTGGGGGCCCCTGGGTCACTTGCTGCTTCTGGTCTCCGTTGTTTTGTTTTCCCTCCAGTGGATTGCTGGAGCCTCACCTCCTCCATCTCACCACACCCATGCCGGGGGAGAGAATGCTGAGGCATCCGCTGGATGCGCTGCAACAGACTAAGGATCCAGACCAGCCATTCTGTCTCCCAGGCGTCTTCTCTGTCCTTTCTTGCCTCTTCTCTCTCTCTCTCTCTCTTTTTTTATAAAGATTTATCTATTTACTTTTGGCTGTGCAGGGTCTTCATTGCTTTGCGTGGACTTTTCTCTGGATGTGGCAAGTTGGATGCCCAGGCTTCTCACTGTGGTGGCGTTGCTTAATGCAGAGCGCGGGCTCTAGGCACACAGGCTTCAGTAGCTGTGGCTCACCAGCTCTAGGGCAGGCGCTCAGTAGTTGTGGCGAACAGGCTTGGTTGCTCTGCGGCAGGTGGGATCTTTCCGGACCAGGGGTTGAACCCGTGTCCC